ACTTCTAGTGTAGACTGTTCTATGTTCAATTTCCTTATCTCCTATACTAAATTTTATATTATTGATCGATATACTGAGATATTTGAGATGTTTAGTATTTAATATTTACTAATTCTGCATACTAAATTTTTCTGATATTTTCAGTGTATCACTGCTTTCATTCCAAATCCAGATCATTCTTTTCTGTTTCTGGAAATGTTTATCTTGGAACACTTGGTAAATAATAGTGAATTTCTGCTTTGTCATAAGTAGTTCTGTTTGTCATTTGAAAAATCCACTTTTGACATACTTATTCCAAATACACTTTTTATTAAATATTCAAAGGAAAGATTCTGTCTTAGAATGCTTGCAAACCCAAATTAAGAGATGGAAAAAAATTTTTGATTATTTAATAAAAGAAGTGATAGGTACCTCCATTAGGTCACGTAAAAAAAGCAGCGTATCACGATGAAAAAAGGTCTATAAATCAACGGAAACAAAGTTTTGTCTCAATATGTTTATGTTGTTATGAAGAGGAAAGACCCAAGTATTTTTTAATTATTTTTTGAAATTTTTTACTCCTTTCTAGCACGTAGAAAATTTTGGTTAAAAATTTTGTTTCTTTTACGACAGCGCAATAAGAGAAAAAAAAAAGGTTTGTTTTATTTTGCCCTTTTCCCGAGGAAAACACGTTGATTTAGGAAATTCTTGCAAAAATCAAATTATTGGCAGATTTTAATTAAACTTTCAGGACTTATTCAGAAATGAATGAAATTATTTTTGAAATTTTTTTTTTAGAAAATCTTGTTAAAAAGAGATTTTTTTTTTAAACATGTTTCCACCCACTTACATATTTTCATGAAATTTCGAGAAATTAAATCTTTAAGCACGGGATTTGTTTTATTAGTTAAACAGGACTCTTTATAGAAAGTAAATCACCAGTTTTTTTTGTAAAACAGTTACCCGTTTCATAGAAAATCTGCTCTGAATTATAAAAAAAAAAAAATGTAAAAAAAGTATGACATTAATTAATTAGAAAAGCTTTGATCTGCTTTTGTAAATACGTTAAGGACATTATTTTGTGAAGAAATAAAAATTTTTTCGATGAATAATATATTTTTTACAAATTTTTTTTCCATTTTTAAAAGTTTTTTTCATTAAATTCTTAATACTTCAAAAATCGTTTAAAATTCTTTATTGCTTTTAAGCACGTAATGCAATGATAACGTTTATGAAAAAGTAAAATTGAAAAGCACATAACAGTCGTTTGTACCGAATATTTTAAAATAATTAAAAAAAAAAAATTTATTGAAAAAACGTTTATAATTTCTACGTATGGAAATGTATACGACATAATCCTTAAATTTTTTTTAAACAATTATCTAATTAATAAAAAACTTTAAACAATTATCTAATTAAGAAAGTATGAAATAAAAAATAGATATTACATAATTGCTGAATAAAAATCATAATATTTACAAAGTACTAGTTAAAAACGAAAAACCGCGTTCGCTTACTTTGCAAAAATTGTCAATTTTGATCATCCATAGTAATCTGTTATCACCTCGTCACAATCGATTTCTTTGATAAATTCAGACACATCGTTAAGAAATATTTGGATACAAATTTTTATGCTATAAGTAAGTACTGTTTGTTTCATATCAGATTAATTTAACTTTAATTTTTCTAATTTTACTCAAATAACGTGTCAAAAATATATAAATTTATTTTAGGACGAAGTTTAAAATCAAAATTTTGTTTTTGTTTACAAATTTCTTAAAATTTAAGAAAATCAAAGAAAAATCGAGCATATATTTGACATTCCAATCTATATAATTTCTATCTGAAATACACCAGAATATGTTACTTACTGTAAATTTAATGCTTTAGCTTTCAATTAATAACAACATATTGAGACAAAACTTTGTTTTCGTTGATTTATGAGCCGTTTTTCATCGTGATATGCGGCTTTTTTAATTTTACTTGACCTAACGGAGCTTGGGTGTTTTTTTTTTCTTCTTCTCCAAAGTTGAATAATTGTTTTGGCTTGTTAAAGTGTAACAACACAAATAATAAAAAATATAGGAGAGCAAAAAGGTAAAACTTATAAAGAGCTACAAAGGACAGGAAGTTGTGAAGAGCCATGATCGTCAATATCCTGAAGGAGCATGACACATAAAAGAAGAATTTCTGTCTAAATTTTTGAAAGGTGAAATTGTCATTATTTATTGAAATTGTTGTTCTTATCTTGGTTGTTATAGTCATTATGTTTCGACCGTTGTAATATCTAGCCTTCTTCAGGTGTCTAGTGTTCTTTGAATTTCAAACGGAACTGTTTATTACGCTCACCAGTCGGTGACTTCTTATTTGTCTGTCCATTCTAGGGGAGATAACTCGTATTATTTCATTTTTTTAAAATTTCCCCTACTTATATTTTTATTTTTTGTTAAATTCGTTCTTGTGTCTGTTAGGTTCTAATGATTAAGTGATGAGGTAAATGCTGCAATTTATTTGTTGATCAGGAGTTCAAACCCTGGTTCAAGCAGTCGGGCCTAATGGAATGAGAAGAAAGCGGTGCAACAACGACGAATTGTAGTTATGGCGCTAAAAATAACAGAATAATTAACAAATAAGAGTTATGTCCCCTAGCACGTACGGTAGAATGAGTCTACCATTTTGGACTTGATAAAGGGTTCAGTTTGAAATTCCAATGATGTTATCGAATATGACCGTTACCTGAAGAAGGCCAGAGGGAATAAGAATCGAAACATTGTGACTATAGCAACCAAAACAAAGACAACAGTTTGAATAAATAAATTCCTGCTTAGTCTGTTGCATTTCACTTTTATACTACATATGTTCATGAGATAGATAAAAAAAATAGCATACTATGAAAAAAAAGGCCTTAAATTTGATTAAAATAAGTTTTTATCGTCTAAAAGTTAACGTTATTATCATGAGGAATGATCAAAGTATTTTTTGAATATTTTTTACATTTTTTAATAATTTCTAGCACGTTCAAAATTTTCGTTAAAAATCTACAATTTTTTTTTGAATCGGAAAAATTGACAGAAAATCGATAATCTCCCGTTTTTTTAACTTTTGTTTACAAAAGTGAATGTTGCCGTTTAAAATTTATATAAAAAATCAAATGATTTTTTTTTATATAATTTATTTAATATATTTTGAAACAAAGATTGCTTATTTTCTGTGATGAAAACATGTTTTTTCAAATGGGAGAAAGCCGGTCTGAACTGCGTTTTTGATTGACAAATGACATGTGCGTGTTTTTCATCACGCACTGACATATTACGTGCGGAAATTTATAGTACGGAAGGTCATAAGTGACAATTTGTCTTTACGTTAACAACTTATTTACCTCGTTATTTTTAAGTAGGCCTAGCATGAAAAAACGGCCTTAAACTTGACGAAAGCAGAGTTTTATTACCAAAATGTTTATGTTACTATTAAGGGGAAAGAACAAAGTAATTTTTCATTATTTTTTAAAATTTTTCTGTCTTTATTAGAACGTTTTAACTTTTGGTTGAAAAATCTTGTTTCTCGTCATCACCGGAACTTTAGTAAATAACATGGCAAATTTTTTGTTCATTTTTTTCTTATGACACATTAATTTTGAAAATCTTGCAAAAATAGAAATAATTGTCAGATTTTAATGAAACTTTCAGGAATGATGGAAATTATTATAATTTTTTTAAAGTAATTTTAACTGCCGTACAAATCAAGTCACGTGATGTTTTTATTGGATCATGTTTCTTCCGGGCCTCCGTACATTTGATTTAACATTTTTTTTTTTTCGACACATAGGGTAAAGAACAGTAAGATTATTCTCATTGCTGGTTCGAATTTATTTTAGAATATTTAACAACTTTTAGTAACTTTATGTAAAAATAATAAAATAATTTATTAAATAACAATTAATTCATTTAAAAATTCATTTTTCATCGAAAAAGTTTTTTGCCTTCAGACAATATTATGCATATTGATAAAAACAAATAAAAGTAACTAAAAGCATTTAAAATTAAATAGTATCTTTGTTTTATTAGGTTTTGTATGTTACAATTCAGAGCTGATTTTAGGTTTACAAGCTCGGATTTTTAAAAAAAGAAAACCTGATTTACTTTCCTCAAATCCTTGTGTTTTTAACTAATATAATGACTTGCGTGCTTCGACCATTAACTTTTAGAGTTTTTATTAATTTATTTATGGGGGTGTAATATATATATAAAAAAATATATTTTTATAATGACTTTTTTTAAAATAACATATTTATAATAATTTCCATCATTCCTGAATATTTTCTGAAAGTTTCATTAAAATCTTAAATTTATTTCTATTTTTGCAAGATTTTCAAAATTAATGTGTGTCATGATAAAAAAAATGGACAAAAAATTTGCTCTTATTTTTACAGAGACTTCTGGTGATGACAAGAAACAAGTTTTTCAATCGAAAGTTAGAATGTTGTAATAAAGACAGAAAAATTTTAAAAAATAATTAAAAATTACTTTGTTCTTTACTCTTAATAGTAGCATAAACATTTTGGCGATAAAATTTTGTTTTCGTCAAGTTTGGCGTCTTTTTCATCAGACTATGCGCTTTTTTTTAGCGATCTCATGGAGATACCTTTTGGAAATGGTGTAAATCCATCTTTTGTTTTTCTATCCACATCTATATGAGTTAAATATCAGGGTAGACAGAATTTTCTAGCTGTGACTGTTAGTCATTCAAGGAGAAGGAGAACTCTGCCTTTTCTATAGTTTAGAATTCAATGAGAATCCACTCCATTATCTTTCCTAAGTCATTGCAATTCACAGATAATAAAGAAATAGAATTCGTGGAGAGCCGTGATCGCCCACGTCCTGAAAGGACATTAAAATAAAAGTGTTTAAAGATGAAATGAAGAGTGTGAAGAATTTAATGATCACAAATCCTGTTACTTATGTTGATAACAAAGATAATTTTGTGTTTTTTTTTTTTTTTTTATCTTTTTATTCTTATGAAAGGAACCATTGGTGGCTACTTACTTTATTTTTATGGATATGATCCCTGGCAAGGAAAATACTTGTATGTTGAAGATTTTTATGTTACCCCAGAATGCAGAAAAATTGGAATGGGAAGTGCTCTTTGGAAAACTGTCATCAAGGTAAGAATTCTTTGGAAAATATTTAAGTAAAATCACAATTTACGATGTGTCCCATGTCAAGTCACATTCCCACCGTGTATCATGTTAATTTGCATTTATGGCATCTTATATCAATTTGCATCTATGGTGTGTCCCATCCATGTCAATTTGCATCTGTGGTGTGTCCCATCCATGTCAATTTGCATCTATGGTGTATCCCATCCATGTCAATTTGCATCTATGGTGTGTCCCATCCATGCCAATTTGCATCTGTGGTGTGTCCCATCCATGTCAATTTGCATCTATGGTGTGTCCCATCCATGTCAATTTGCATCTGTGGTGTGTCCCATCCATGCCAATTTGCATCTGTGGTGTGTCCCATCCATGCCAATTTGCATCTGTGGTGTGTCCCATCCATGCCAATTTGCATCTGTGGTGTGTCCCATCCATGCCAATTTGCATCTATGGTGTATCCCATCCATGTCAATTTGCATCTGTGGTGTGTCCCATGCCAATTTGCATCTATGACGTGTTCCATGTCAATTCACATCTATAACGTTTACCATCCAAATTTGCATTTATGACATCTCATGTTAATTTGTATCTAAGATGTGCACAATGTAAATTTGCATTTGCAACATGTGCCATGTCAGTTCATATCTGTGACATGTACTATGCAAATTTGCATTCGTGATGTCTCATATAAATTTGCATCTATACTATGTTCCATGTAAATTCACATCTACAATGTGTCCCATATCAATTCATTCGTACAATGTATCTTGTGACCAATTTTTTGACATGGACAATAATGAAAAGAAAAGATTCACTGGTAGAGTGAGGTTACATGGTAGAAAAACTCTTAAAAATGCGAGAACTCTCCTTTATATTAATAGTTTGAAAAATTCTATCAAATAATTATTTATCTCTTAGGTCCCACCTGAAAAAAACATTAACTTTTTTTTACCAACCCCCAATAATAACTTACTTCCAACCTTTGTTCAGATGCTTAATATCTTAGGTACTACTTGAGGAGGGTGAAAAATAAAGATTTACCCTCACCTTGTAGAGCAGGGGTTGGCAACCTATGGCACGCATGTTACACGTGGCATGCCAAGCAATTTCCAATGGCATGCAGTCACAAATGACATCATAAAGTCTGAACCAATAACTACTACAATGCAAAGAAGATACTTAGCTGTTTCAATTTTAATATTGTTGTAGCATACCTATGGACAATAACGGGTATGTCCCCATTTACATAAATACAGTAGTAAATACTGTTTGTTGGTCTGCAGTTGGAGATTCGTCTCCAGCTGGGCTGGTCAAGCTCTCTCCCTCCAGGCAGAGAGGATCCCTAGACAAGGTTATATCGAAGGGCAGAGTCTTGTCTTAGGAAACAGCTACCTAACCCCATTTTATAAGGGGTCTATGGGGAATTTTTGGCCAAGCCTATGGTCTCAGATACCCCATATTAAATTCGGCCTTGTGCCACATCTAACTGCATGGGGCGGGTGGTAGATATCTTGCAGTTGGAGATTCATTGTGGAATTCACTTGACTCACTTCTAGCAATTGACTACTTCTATGTGCTGCTGGTGAATCTTATATATGTTGTTCTTGTCCTAAGTATTATCGTTCATTGCCAACCTATGTGTGATTATTCTATTCAGTAACCTTCCCTAGGTTACAACAAATATATACTAAAGTATATATACTATGTAAAACATATTGTAGAACAGGTATATTGACCTTGATTTGTATAAAAGTACATATGCTATTGGCACACTGAGTGATTTTAAAACCTAATTTGGCACATAGTTAGCAAAGGGTTGCCAACCCCTGTTGTAGAGTATTAATACTCTGAACAATTCCTGACAATAAGATATAGATGTCTTTGTCCCAGAGAAATGCATACTTTTATTTTACTAATATTTTTTTTTCTTGTAGACTGCTGCCAAAGAACAGTGCGAATGGATGGAATGGTGTGTTCTTGACTGGAATCATCTGGCTATCAACTTTTACAAACGATATGGTGCTGTTAATGTAACTAAAGAAGCGGGTCAGATCTTTCGTCTTACCTCGAAAGAAGTCGAAAACGTTTTGGCCAAGATACAGTAACAGATGATTATTATTATTTTTTTTTAGGTGAAAACTGTTGAGAAATTGTTGTTTGCATTTTATAACAAAAAAATAAACAGTAAAATAAAAAAATTAGAAAATTTAAAAAACAAAAGAATATGAATATAGTAGATTTTTTTTTTTTTTTTTAGATTTAAAAAAGGAAAAAACAATTTAGTTTGGCCATATTGCAGAGAGAAAAAATAATTTCTTTTTTGTTGTTTATATAATTGTTGATGTAGCATACTTAAAGTTTTAAACATTTGTTGAAAAAGTGTATGAAATAAATGTATAAACAATTTAACAAAACCACGTTTGAAATCCTCTCTACAGATCTGGAAGTGCCAAATGATTTGTTTAGCTATGGGAGCATCACTTTAGGATGTCTGATATTTTAAACCAAGAGATTTGTGAATTTTAAGGTCTACTGATTTTGGTGTGCCATTCTTGATGGATCCAAGATATTGTCTCTTCCGAAATGGAATCTCAGTGTTTTTTGAAATATTACTTTTTTTTTTTTTTAATTACAGAAACCAATTTCTAAGACAAAAAAAAAAGCCTCATACAAAAAAAAAAAAAAAAGTTTGGGTACAAATCCACTGCCTGTGTGAAAACATTTGGTAAAAATTCCCCTGTATCTTACAGATATTTATTGGTAAGCAAAATCTTGAGTTAAATTACTTGAATTCAATGAAAATAATTGTACTGCATACAGGTCCAAAGCCCCTCCAAAAAAAAAAAAAAACGATATGAGTAATCAACTAACTAAAAAAAGTGCTTAATACAAAAGTAGAGCCGACCTAGTCAAATATAGAGAGCCAGACAAACCTACCAAGGTTTCATCTAAGCGGATCGTCAGGGAAATATATACTATATTGGTGCAGTAGATCATTATTCAGACATATGTTTTTAAATATAACAGAAAATGAATGCCAATTATTTTTTGATCATGAGCCGATCTAAGCTTTCTATATTTGCTTTAATTTTGGGATAAAATAAAGACAAAAACTGTCCAACATTTGGATATTTTTTTTTATTATGCTGTTCCTCGATCAAAGCTTTCCGGCTCACATGAGCCATCATCAGATGTTGTTATATGGACATTACAACAGAGATGTTCACCATCAAAGATGACATCCTGTTATGTTTACATATAAGTTATGTGATGATAACAGTTGCGTAATAGCAGATACAGGTCTTGAATTCATAATCCATTATCATTGCTGGGCAAAGTTCTATATAAACATAAAAGGATGTCATCTTTGATGACGAACATCCCTGTTGTAAATTCCATATAACCACTCTGATGATGGCTCATGCGAGCTGAAAGCTTAGATTGAGGAACAGCATATTAAAAAATATATCCAAATGTTGAACATTTTCTCCCACAATTAAAGCAACTATACAGAGCTTAGAATGCCTCATGATCAAACATAATAGACATTTGTAGTCTGTTATATTTAACAATATATGTTTGAATAATATATATATATATATATATAAAAAGGAAGTGACTTATGTGTATAAGGCATTCTGAGATTTTTAATGTCATGTAAGGAAAAATGATATAAAAACATTGGTTGAAAATAAGAGTTCTTGATTTTTTTTCTTTTTTTTTTTTAAATGAAAAGTTTTCTTAGAATTATTGAAAAAAATGTTTTGAATTTTGAAATAAAAGATTCTTCTTGAATATTTTATTTTATTTTTTTTTTTCAACCATAAAAAACTATCGCATCATTTATAGCTAATGCCATCTTCAGAATCTTAAATTTGTTTAAATTCAGGAACCAAAATTGAATGAGATTTGAGATTGCATTCTCCATTACTGAAATGTCTTGCATTTTGTTTAGACTTGAGTCATTAATTTTTTTACTTGTCTTTTATTTGATGTTGAATAAAGAAATCTTTTAAAGTCACTTCATTCTTCCTTATTTTATAAGATCACCAAGGATAAATTGTTTTTCAGAGGTGGCAAAATCTTCATATATATTAAGTGATATGAAACATTTCTCAGAGTTAACCTGTAGAAACAGACAATATTTATAAAAAAATGTAAAATGAAATGAATTTATTAAAACAAAGTAACTCATAATAACAAAACAAAATGTCCTTAGCAACTAGTAGAATTTAGGAAACACTATTATATTCATATTGTCAACTGAAAATTACGTCAAGTACCGTCACGTGTGGAAATATTGTTTTTATTGTTGCGTTGACAGATTTGACCATTTTCTTTTGATTTCTTGATACATTTGTGTACGTTTGCTTAGGAGAGTAGTAATCCCGTTAGGAAAAGTGATATTGGGAAAAGGCCTGGGTGTAGATTAATAGTTGGATAATATTTAATGGCGGCACTCTTGAGGATTTTCCTTCTGAGTGAGTTATCTTCTTTTTTTATGTGTGTAGCATTTTTAAAATCAAAATTGTGGTTGAATTTAATTCTATGCATGACTAGTGCATTAGTTGTTTTTAGTGATGTCTCTTTTGTGCTCAGAAATGCGTTTTTTTAAATTTCTACTTGTTTCTCCAATATATTTTGTTTTGTTATTATTAGTTACTTTGTTTTAATAAATTCATTTCGTTTTTGCCTTGAAAAAGTTCATATTGGACAAAACATGTCAGCTAATATTACAGTTTTCCTATTGTCTTTTAGATTTATAAAAATTAAGTAATATCTATAGATGTCTGAAGGTAGTGGGCGTTACTGAATTATTTGATCAAATATGTCCTATCACTTGTAATGACTTTAAACAGTTTGGTCAGAAAATGATTTATATTTTACTTTCTCTCTATTGTGTAAGTTTTTTGTTTCTGGTTGAAATTCTGGAAAAAAAAATTGTGAATAAGAACCTTGAAATAATAACAGCATTTTCCAAAATATATTATTCAGAAGTAACTTCATGGCTTTTATTTTTTTTTTTCCATGATGTTGATGAAAATTTTAATTAATATAGATTTGTTTCATGATATTTTTCTGAATATATGGAATGCCATGTATAATATTATACTCCCCCATTGAGAAAGTTGTATATTTTCCATTAGTGTTTGAAAACAAGGTGTGGTTGTGGAGAAAAATTCAAATGCTGATTTTCAAGGAAAGCAAATACTCCTTTTCAACTTGAAGAGATGGTGCAACACAAGCAGCCTACTACTCTCTGTTTTCTTTAATTTAGTCTTGCACAATATATATATATATATATTTTTTTTTTTTTTTCAAGCATGTTTCATTAAATAATATAGACATATTACGTCTATTTATTTTTACAATAATCAATTCAATTTCCTCAAATTATCTTCTTGGTGTTAAGTTGAAATTCATCAAGGAAGATGCCATAGATTTTTCTTACCCAAGTACTTTCAATCATCTCCAAGATCATCCTTAGAGGTGAATTGCAAAGACAAACTTATTGTAATTGTGATGATTTTTTGTAAACGTGTGTTTTTGTAAATGTGTTAATTATTTTAAAATTAACCATTGTGGTTATGATGTTTTGTAAACAAGCATTCTCAATGCAAGGGGGTAACCAGAGATGGTAAATTGCAACATGTTGTTAAATGCCTTCATTAATGAATTTCAACTTCAAGATGATAATTAGAGAACTACAAAAAAAAAAAAATAAGATGTAAAAATAGACATAATATATCTATATTATTTAATGAAACATGTTTAAATGAAGATATGCTGCATATATATATATATATATATATATATATATATATATATATATATATGTGTGGCCACTTCAGAGATTGGCCTTGTCAGGCTTAGCCTGAGTCAGTCAGCATTCAATTATATCTATTTCAAAGCAACAAGAATCTTTTAGTACTGTGTCGTTTACATTGTTGACTTCAACTGTATCCAAGTTTAATGGATTTAACTCCATACCTCAATATACATTTTATATATATATGTATATTTTGCTGTTAACAATAAAATAAAAATAAAAAAAACAGACGACATGCATTTAACAGATGTCAGAATTCGTTGAAAAATACATCCCTTCCCCTATCTAAACATAACCCCTTTTTTGAACGTAACTAATATCTGATACAACAAAAGTTAATAAGAATGAACACGCTACCACCCCTTGTCTGGATGAATGGATTTCTCTGTATCCTTGGAAACAATGAATTATGAATTTTTCGTTGCCTTTAAAACTCAGTAAATTTAAAAAAATAAAATTCACTTGAGGATGAAATGGAACTAATGTTTTTAATTTAATTACAAAATTAAATTTGAAGCTTTTAGCTTCCATTTTTGAAACATGGTTATTACTGTGTAGCTAAAAACCATATTTTAAATCAGTTAATTTATAATATTAATGCTCTAAATTTACATTGAGCACTATTTTCTAAAAATAAAAATATCAATAAGAACACCGGATTATATATCTTACTGTTCTTTCTTTTTATTTATATATACATATATATGTGTATGTGTGTGAGTGAGTGTATGTGTGTCATCCACAGACAGACTGTTTCGCTGTGTGGTTAGACATCTGGTTGTCACAAGCCAGGATTGAAACTCAACCAATTTGGCATCAGTTGGAGACTTTCCCCCTGAGCTATCAGCCTACCAGCAGAGAGGAAGGTGAATTTATATGTATCAGGTCATCCCATAAGTTCTGTCCGAATTTTAACTTTTTGTTAAAATGAACGAAATTTAAAGAGTATTTTATAATGTCTAATGGAGCTGAACATTATTTTTATGCTTAGATGCATTTAAACTGATAAAATTTTTATTTCAGAGAACAATAAAATTGTGTTTTATTAAAACCCTGCTAACATGGAAGTACCCAAGAATCATTTGAGGCACATAATGCTTTATGAGTTCAAGAAAGGAAACTCAGTAGCCGAAGGGGCTTGAAACATTCACTCATGGAGAGGAATGTGGGAATGAAAGAATTTGCAGAAGATGGTTTGCAAAATTCAGTGGTGGAGATTTCACCCTTGAAGAGGAAGATCGAACCGGACGTCCAGTTGAGTTTGATGAAAAGCTT